TCATAAAATTAACACAAGATAACAAACAGTACATGTACTTAAATAACTGTCAATATTCTACTGTGTATTCATATTCATAGAACTAACACAAGATTATAAACAGTACATGTATTTAAATAACTGTTAATATTTTACTGTGTATTCATATTCATAGAACTACCAAAAGATTACAAACTGTAAAATATTTAAATAACTATCAGTATTTTACTGTATATTCATATTCATAGAACTAACACAAGATTACAAACAGTTCATGTATTTAAATAACTATCAATATTTCACTGTGTATTTAAATTCATAGAAATAATACAATATTACACACAGTACATGCATTTAAATAACTGTCAATATTTTAATGTGTATTCATATTCATAGAACTAACGTATGCTTACAAACAGTACATGTATTTAAATAACTGTCAATATTTTACTGTATTATCATATTTTACCACTGATATTGAAGTAATGCTATTTACTTTTCAAAAACTCTTATCGCATATCAATATATTTGATGGTTTAATGTAAAGCGATAAAAGTTGTCTTCCATGTAAATTACGAAAAGATAGTTTAAAACTTGTAACATTTGCGCCTTCGGTAGTTTTAGGTACAGGTGATGTTAATCGGATAATGATGAAATTTTTTATATAATATAATAGTTTTCAATATATATATACACAAAAAGATAATATAATTTATTTGTCTGGCTGTAAACCTGTCATGCATAAATTCTTCCGCTAACTCAATTACATCCTTTTTAGTTTTACTACCAACTTCTATGGACATTCTTCGTTGAGCTTTGAAACAAGACTTACTATGTCTTTTTAACATATTTGTTTCAAGCCACAAAAATATACTTCGAAAGGAAAGTTTCAAGTGTATGAAACAGAATTCAGGATATTTCTAACAAATGTATTCATACTCTTAGTTAAGGCGGATAAAAAGGATTTCAAGCAACCTTGACAAAATGTACTTTACAAATGACAGGTTCAAAAATAGTCTTATTTTATTTGAAATTGGTTGAAAATGATAGAACGTCATGCTTCCTATACTTGCACGAGAGAACTGCGATAACCGTAAAAGAGTAACCAAGAAAAGAAGTATGAAGTAAGGCTTAATATGAAAATAAGTCAAGAATTATCTTCACAGTTTCAGATGTTACGCTTAACTAACTTTGAAGAATTTGCATAAGCGCTAGACACAAGTATAAAAAAATATATACGTCAACAAGCTGGGATTGTCCTATAATAAATGGCTGTGGTTTCAAAGATTTAACCGTGAAAAACAAACTATTAAGGATCTCGAGGAAAGAAGACATTTGAACCTTCAACCTTTTCTTTATCAATGGGTGATAGGGGCGTACTTGGTATGCCAACTATTTCTCTTCCAATAAATTACGTTGGCATTGTTTGATAAGGTTTTTTATAACACTGAATCCAATGATATGTAGTTTATAAGCGTTTTTATATATAAAATATACAATTAATAAATCCAATATGAAAATTTACCTGTTCGATGGGAATACAAAATGCCTGGTTACCAAAGCTTTAAAATATTAGCCAGGATCCGAAGTGTGTGTGAAGGGGGGTCAAAAGGCAAACCAAAGTTTGAAAGGGTTAGATACCAGTCGGGATCTAAAAGGGTTAAAAGATTAGACTGGATCTGATTTACAATTTAATTTAGTTCTGCAAAAGTAAGCAGAAGTAACTACAGACAAGAAACAAATAAATTAATTTCTAATTTAAACTACAGGCTAGTCATTAAATGCAATCATAAAAAACAAAACAAAAAATATATAGAAATAAACTGAAAAAGTTTGTCAGAAAAGCGTTTTACTTAAGAATGAAAACAAAAATATTGAAAGAAAAAAATATTTTTAAAGGTATATTTATAACCTAATTTGAACAACACTCCAAACAATGAGAATTGACAACATCAAATTATTCCTTATTTCCACCTAATAATAACATTTTCAACATTACACAAGTGCTCCTGTTGTTGCAACCCGTAGTAGAGACAATATTATTAAATCTTTTGATTAATATAAACAGAACCTGATAAGTGGAACCATAATTATTACTGAAACAACAAATTATGGTAAATAACCTGAATTAGTTTTATAATTAAAATTATACGTTTAAAACGTATCGTAAACGTAATCAACCTGTTCTACGCGATGGAAGGCAGACTTTACTAGAGTACAGTAACATTTAATTAAAGTAATAAGTCCAAATACATTGTTTCATTGAAATTAATGAACATTTTTTCATCAAAGTCATCAAATAGCAGGATGCTAATAGTTTTAATAATAACTATGCTTTAAAAGTACGTACAGCGACACTAAACTTATAACTGACATATATAGGCTACACAAAAGCCCGTATCCTAAACAAAAAATATTCCTTGTGTCTGTGACGGTCGATATAACTTCTGAGTAAACTTAACACACAAAACAGTATCTTATATGACGGTAATACAAAGTAGATGAAGAATTCGCCTTTTATAATTCAATGCTAATTTTCAGCATTTCAAACTCTCGGCCTCGTCTTTAAGCTACAGCTTAAGTAGTAAAGATTCGACTAAAATTATTTGATGTTTTGGTTATTTTTTGTTTTAGAACAAAGCCACATTGTGCTATCTACTCTGTTCACCACGGGGATTCGAACCACGGACTTTAGCGTTGTAACTCTGTAATTTTACTACTGTAGGACAAAATATCTTTGAAAGGGTTTTTTGTTAACTTGTTTTTAGTTAAGCACAATGCTGCACAATAGGCTATCTTTGCTCTGTTCACCATGGGTATCGAAACCCGGTTTCTAGCGTTGTAAGTCCGTAGACATGCCGCTGGGCTGCTGGGGAGACATACTGTGTAGCAACTTCTATTGTTGTACTTTAATTCCTTTATTTTCTACTTCGTGATTATTGTCTATGGAAATAACACGCAGGATAATTAGGACTTAGTAATTAAAGAGCACAGTATAGCGTGTGACAGTTACTGAAAACCCACGATAAATGGAACAAACTGTTAGAAGACTTGAAAATATCTTCAATCTCAAATTATATTCTGTCGAGAAAACCGCTCAACCACACCTGCGAGGTCCCGAAACTTCGAATTTCCTTAAGGATACATGTGATCAGAAAGCTATTTAGCTTATAGTGACCTCGACAGGTGTTTAAATTAGGCAGACTTTTGACTAAGCAACTTTCAACGGTTCTTCTCTTCTATATACAGTTGTCCGTTTTGTACAAAGTTCATGTTGATTTCTAGTCCATTTGATGGCTAGATTCTCTCATACGAAACAAAAATGGCATTGTTTATTCTTTAATAACAAGCGTCTTTTTTGTATTCAGGAACTCTTGTCAACACTTCCTCCGATTACACTCACATATACAACGCTAGAAACCGGGTTTCGATACCCATGGTGGGCAGAGCACTGATAGCCCATTATGTTGCTTTGTGCTTAATTAAAAGCAAATACACTTACATAAATTTATTATTCCTTAACCTTTTCTCATCTTCATCTCACTCACTATCAAATTTAAAGTTGAATGGGGAAGGACTACTTTCTTGGATGTTTTGATAACCAGAAGAAACATGGAAACTTTCCTTTTTATATACCAATATATATATATATATATACTCTTAGCTTACCGTTTCAAATATTCCATGATTGTACTAGCAAAGAACTGAGGAGCTAAAATGAAAATGTATGAAAAAAGATAGAACATTTGAGTATGTTTTTTTTTATTGTTTTGTTTTTTCAAATGCTATAGCGTTAACTTTTTGTGTGTGTGGGGACTTGGTATACTTTTCTATAGTGCTTTAACGTTAATCAGACTAACCAATCTTTTTGTGGGGGTGGGGGTGGAGGGGCAGGTGTAAGTTTTTATATACTTTAGCATTAATCAGTTTTTTAAGGGGGCTTGTTATAACTTTTTGGGAGGGGCTTGGTATACGTTTTTTGGTATACTTGCATCTCCATTAAATCTGGGGATGTTTTCTTATTTTTAGGTTCTAGAATATTCAGCTAGTCCGATATTTCCTTATAGTTATTATTAAGAAAAAGACGTTACTTAAGCATGATTTTTATTCTATTTAAGCTTTATATATCAAAATGTGACAATAGTATTCAACACTGGGAACGTTTGTTTGTGTGTTGTTAAGCACGAAGCTACACAATGGACTATCTGTACCGTGTCCATCACGAGCACTAGAAACGCTTTAAATATTTCAAGTGTACGATTCATACAGGAAGTGAATGAGCATAGATCGGTTTGAAACGTTTTCAATGTGAGTGAATCTAGAAGAAAATGTTGGAATAACAGACGATAAAGTCTGGTTAGCGAAACGTTACAGAATCTGAAAAATATCCAGAGTTCTTAACGTTTCTGACAGAAAAATGCTATTTATCTCTCTTCTTCATATATTTATAAATTTCTTTTCGTGATCAAAACGTGAATGTCAGTGAAGAAAAAATGACGTATAGTGGCATAATTTATTCTTTGATTCGCTACTTCTGATAGGTACTATACATGAAAACCAGTAGGGATATATGTTTATATTTGTAAGAACAATATATATTAATATTTATGAGGAAAAACAATCCTTATCTTTCCACCGCTTTCAATGGTTCTACAGATCTACACCACAACTGTAGCTTTCAATGGTTCTACAGATCTACACCACAACTGTAGCTTTCAATGGTTCTACAGATCTACACCACAACTGTAGCTTTCAATGGTTCTACAGATCTACACCACAACTGTAGCTTTTCTAATTCTGCCCATAACAATTTCAGAAGAAACAATTTGTCTGAGCCCTACACCAATTAGACCAATAATGTATTTATATTCACCACACTAACTAACGTCTCATAAGAATTTTTTGTACGTAAAACAACTTTCTAACGCACAGCCCAATATAAAATGTACGTGTATAGATGTAGTGTTTTATTCTTTGATCGTGCTATTTAGAAGAAAATATATTTCTCTTTCCGTTAACAGCTTCCATTTCCCGACTATTCAGATGTTGGGTGAAGACTTAGTAGCTGTACTAGACCACTTAAAGTGAGTAATGAAGAAATATATCAATAATAGGATGCTTACTATGCGCATGTTAATATAAAGTTAATATATGTACCAAATACCTATTGATCAGGTAGTTAGTTTTTGTTTTATTTAGGAGTGAACTTTTAATTGGATATATCATTTATTTCAAGTCACTTTTTTTCAGTTACTTTTATTACGTGTGAATAAAAACATGTGAAATGCACGACTTGAAAGTTCAAATTTGCCGAATCTTGCTATTAAAAGTATAGTTTAGGTATCTAAATAGTTGTTATCCAGGTTTAGCGACTTAGTTTCACGATCCCTCAATATTATAAGGTCTACCCAGCTAGCGAAAATCGATTACCTATTAATGATATTTAAGTAAATATTATTCACGAAGATCTCACCATGTGGTACAAGAGTTATTTATATGTATAAAATCCGATCTGAATGTTTATAGTTTATGTCTATTAATTAGGATAAAGTTTGTTGTCGGACTTGGTGAAGGAGCTGGTGCCAACATACTGGTTAGATTTGCGGTAAGTCATTCTTTATTAAAACACTGCATGAAATCTATTAAGACATTCTGTTGGTTTTGTGCCATCGGAATCACGAGTAAATATAAGAACAATATAGACATTTGGTATAATCATTTTTTTCGTATTGATACATTTCTTCTAATAAACTGTTTGTTAATCACAAAATGTCCCCCAATGGCACAGCGGTATGTCTGCGGACTTGTCAAAGCTAGAAACCAGGTTTCGATACTCGTGATGGGCAGAGCACAGATAGCCCATTGTGTAGCTTAATTACCAACAACCAACCAAGTTAATCACAATAATTTTAAAACACACGAATTGCAGAACTAAATGAAAGAATAATAAGTGGTAAATCAAGTAAGAAATATTAACAGTAAGGTAAAGAAAGATCCGAATTTTACAATAAGTGGTAAATCAAGTAAGAAATATTAACAGTAAGGTAAAGAAAGATCCGAATCTTACAATAAGTGGTAAATCAAGTAAGAAATATTAACAGTAAGGAAAGAAGTATTACGTAATTACTACAATAAGTAGGTAAATACTAAGTAAGAAAGTAATTAACAAGTAAGGTAAAGAAAGAAGTACTACGTAATACTTAAC